CTCCACGGCCTCGCCAATCAGGAGGTGAGTGGGCATATGTCTTCTGTTAATTTTCAATTTTGTGATTTTTTTCAGAAGACAGAATTTCAACCTCAAAGTCGATATTCCAATATTTAACCTGGAATCCTTACTTTAAATCTGGAACTTTGATCTTAAACTCTGAATTCTGAATTTAAAAAAGTTAAAAAGTTTTTTATTTTACTTGTTAAATGCAAAGGTAATTTCTTGTTTGAAATTGAAATTAGTATTCCTAGTCGAAATTCTAATTCTGAACTCAGAACTTTGACTTTGAACTTTGAATTTCAACTTTAAACTCGATATTTCAATATTTAACCCGGAATTACCACTTTAAATCTGGAACTCTGATCTTAAACTCTGAATTCCGAATTTGAAGAAAGTTATACATTTTTTAAATTTTATTATTTTGTTAACTGCAACGAAAGTCAATTTTTTGTTTGAAATTGAAATTAGTATTCCGAGTCATAATTCCAATTTTGAACTCAGAATTCTGACTGAGCTCAGAATTCCAATTCTGAACTCAAAATTATGACTTTGAACTTTGAATTTCAACTTTAAACTCGATATTCCAATTTTTAACCCGGAATCCCTACTTTAAATCTGGAACTTTGATCTTAAACTCTGAATTCTGAATTTGAAAAAAGTTACACATTTTTAAAAATTTTATTTGTTGTTAACTGCAACGAAAGGTAATTTCTTGTTTGAAATTGAAATTAGTATTCCTAGTCGCAATTCCAATTTTGAACTCAGAATTATGACTGAACTTTGAGTTTCAACTTTAAACTCGATATTCCAATAATTAGCCCGGAATCCCTTCTTTACATCTGTAACTTTGATCTTAAACTCTGATTTCCGAATTTGAAAAAATTTACACATTTTTTAAATTGTATTTATTGTTCACTGCAACGAAAGGTAATTTCTTGTTTTAAATTGAAATTAGTATTCCTAGTCGGAATTCCAATTTTGAACTCAGAATTCTGACTTTGAGCTCAGAATTCCAATTCTGAACTCAGAAATCTGACTTTGAACTTTGAATTTCAACTTTAAACTCGATATTCCAATATTTAACCTGGAATCCGCACTTTAAAACTGGAACTCTGATCTTAAACTCTGAATTCCGAATTTGAAGAAAGTTATAAATTTTTTAAATTTTATTATTTTGTTAACTGCAACGAAAGTCAATTTTTTGTTTGAAATTGAAATTAGTATTCCGAGTCATAATTCCAATTTTGAACTCAGAATTCTGACTGAGCTCAGAATTCCAATTCTGAACTCAAAATTATGACTTTGAACTTTGAATTTCAACTTTAAACTCGATATTCCAAT